TGTTTCGCTGTAGGTGTGTACATAAGGTACAGGCTGCCGCGCCGGCTGTTGGGAACGTGAGCTGTGCCCTGACACCCCAATTCTGCTGGGCTAACTTAAAAGAAGTCGTCCTTAGTTATAGGAAAAAGTTGATGACAACATTCACCATTCTGTGACACGGCTAATTAATACGTCTTGAAAAGCCTCCTGGTTTTTAGATTTTAGTATGTTGGTAAGAGACTTCACTGCATAGTGTCAGACCTGTGCTGTCCTCTTATTGATGGGAGTTATTTAAGACCATTTAAAATTCTCTTAGCTTATTACTACACCTCCAACGCATTTGTGACATTTTATAGATGTAGTCGAGCTTTTAGGGGGTTGCTATTCAATTAAAGTGTTGGTTACCTGGATTATTAGGGAAAAAAACTACAACTACCTTTAAAAATCTGCCTAATTTTACATAATTCACTATGTAGAGCGGCCTGCAGAGTATGGGTGCCCGGCTGCACTCTGTCCTGCTGCTGGCTCTCTTGTGTGTCTGCCCCCAGGCTGTGCACTTACAGGCACTGCAAGAGAGAATTTATTTTCTTTCATGGTATTAACTGGAAGATTTTTAATTTTTATGAAGCTTCTGCTTAGCACATCTTTTTAAAAGCTGCCTGTTGCCAGACTTGTGAGCGCCAGTGCTAAACTGCAGAGCTTGGTGGTCTCTTAACGTTTGAAGTAGGTGGTTATTATTTACTTACTATGGTTATTTTTTATTAATGATTATTATTTATTAATACTTATGAACTCGTAATAGCAAAGAACTAGTTTCTAGTTTGTCCCCCATTTTTTCTTCTCTGCCGCTCTCCTGTACTTTCCTCAGAAGGCTCCTCTCTCCCCCCGCCATGTGTTTCAGCAGCAGGACTAGAAATACCAGTTGACGTTACAAACGAATCAATTCTTGGTTTTCCAGTTGGTGGCCGGGGCAAACGCGAGCAGCTTCTCCTCTGCAGATAACCAGCTTGATCCCTAAAGGTCGGGGCATCATTCCCAAGTGACGCCAGTCCCATGAGCCATCCTGAATACCCAGGGGGCAGTGGGCTGGTGGCGCTGGCGAGGGGGAGCAGGGCTGTGGTCTGTAACGTGTCTCCTCTCTCCCCCTAGCAATCTGCGCATCGGGCTGGTCTCAGGAGTTTCATCCGCTATGGCTGGCGCTGGAGCTGGAGAGTGGCCACTTTTGTGACAATATTCAAGTAAGTGTTCATCGGTGGCAGTGGGAGAAGAGCTGGCTTACGCTTAAGCGCTCGTGGCAAGGAGCCCTTCGTGCCGGCAGCACTCGTGGCTCCTTGAGAGGCTGCTGGTGACTGAGTGAGGCTCAAAGCATTGAGTTAACAGTGGGTCTGATTGATAACACGTGAGCATGAAGAGGATTTAACTTTTTATAATTATCCCAGACTTCAAATCTTCTAATGAACCGACACAAAAACTAAAACCGGAAAAGCCCTGTTCTTTACATCTAATCCATGCTGTTATTGACTCGGACACTGTTCTTCCCTGTACTTAATGGCTTTTTTCTGCTTTTTCTTCCTCTCTTTTTTTTTTTTTTTTTTTTCATTTTTCTCTGGGAGGGTGTTACAGTGTTCTGGAAGAGCTTTCTATCCTGCGCTAATTTTTCTCCTTTTTGTTACGTCTCATTACTCCTAGTTTGTATACACTGGCATTACTCACTCACTATTCTTTTCTCTTGTCCTCAAATGCTTTCAGATGGTCCTCTTGTTATTAGGGAGTCACTGAACGTCAAATCTACCAGTTGTATGTACCTCTTTAGGCCTTCAGGTTTTTCCTACACACCCAACCAATGCTGAGATAGTGTTCCACTTCCCTCATTTTCTCCCTTGGATGTGTCAGTGCATTTCCCACAATACAGCATCAAACCAAGCATGCTCTTCCAAATAAAGCCCTTTTAAACTAGGAATATCTCCTTCCCTGATGTTCAAAATGGTAAATTTATGTGTAGTCCTAAACCTGCATTGACTATATCTGCAGGTGTGTTCTGTTTAAATTCCCCTTCTGCTTTTAAGATACCAGCAGTATTGAGTAGTGTTATTTTATATTTCTGTCACTCTCATTTTTTTGTTCCTTTCTGAACGTCTTCCTCAATCTGTCTTGGTTTCTTTGGCTCCTTTTGGTTTAGCATCTGTTCTTGGGTTTAGTTAGCATACTGTTTGCTTTCCTGGAGCTTTGGATTTCTTCAGATTTTCCTGGGCTTGACATGCAGCCTCGTCGTCTTCCACCAGATGTCTCCCCTGCAGTCAGATCACCGCCCTTTTTCACCACCCCTTTGGAACAGGCTTTGAAAAAAGATACCTGCAGCTCCCTCTTAATTGTTTCTGTAAAGTCCGGGTTGAAGATTTTGTCCTGCGCTTCTGTGAATTTTGAGTTTTGCAGCTTGAAACCAAATTGTTTAGTTTCACATGGTACCAAGGTGAGGGTGAGGTTACAGCGCTGGGACAGAGAGGAAGGTCATTGTTGACTTGCCGGCGTCATGCAGGAGGCTCGCTAAAGTGCTGGGGAGGATGTGGCTGCTGAACTGAGAACAGAGAGCGTTTTGGGGCTTAATTGATGTTTTTGGAGGAGATGGTGCACCTACCCTGGTGGGAAATGTCATGCCACAAGAGTAGGTGACCCTGATGGTGTCATGAGTGTGACTTAGCTCTAGGGGCGGGGGGGACTATCTACCAGGCAAGATCTTCCTGACACACGGATTCGTCTTCTGGGTGTAAAGGTCCTGCATTAGGACTGACTGACGACAGGACCTTTTCATTGCTCAGTTCCTTTTGTCCTTGAATATCCAAGGGGAAAAAAAAAAAATATCCTTGAGTAAAGAGAAAAAGAAAGGACATCCCAGATGCAGGCCGGGAATGCCGGTATTCCCCGGCCTCTGGCTGTGCAGCTGCCTGCAGTAAAGCCACAGAAATCAAGGCACTTGTGGGTGGCGCGTGTGTGCTCTGGACAGATGGGCAATGAGGCAGTTAGAGGCAACCTGAGGGTTGGCTTAATGAAATCCAGCTTTATTTCAGGCTGTGTCTTGCTGCCTGTCTTTTTCCACGTGCAACTGCTGACTTCTTCTGTGCCTTATCTTTGCAGCATGGTGAGCACAGGTCTGTCTGTGTACCGCAATAAAACCACCATCAGTAATTTTGCTTCGGCAGGAGGTAAGACTGCTGTATCTTTGCAGAGTTTTTTCTTGATGAGCAAGGGTCGTAAATGGAAAAGCATAAGCAGAAACCCGTCTCTCTTGGATTTGAGCGGGTCTCTAGCTTCTCTGCTCCTGGGTTTTGTTTCCTGTTCTACTGACTGCCACTGTGACTTTGCTCCATTGTTTGACTGCTGCGTACCTTTATTTGTAACACAGAGATACCGATGCACTTCTGAAACCGCTGGGGAGTTTTGTGGTTATCAGTTCATCTTCAAAATACTTGCTGGAGTTTTTTGGGTGAAAAATGCTTGTGTAGGGTAAAGGCAGCATTTAGTGCATAACCTGCTCTCATAACCACCTGCTTAGCAGGGGAAGCATTTCTTATTTCCACTCTTCATAACAGTTCAGTGGCTGTTTATAAACTACCCTTTTCATGCTAAGTTTTGCATGTCTGCTTTTGGCAACAGGGCTCCGGGTAAGCGATCTGCGTGTTCACTTTTACAGGCTTTATTGCCCGTGCAGTTGGATATATGTTTTACTGATCTTTTCTGCCTTACATGGCAGCTACTATTATTAGCTGCTGTTGAATAGAAAAAAGGAGAGGGGGGATGGATCACGCTTCAGCCTGGAGAGAGCTCGGTTTTACCTTCATAGATACTTTTACTTCTTAGCATTTCTTGCGGAGTTTTCCTGAAGCAGAAGGAGCTTTGTGCAATGTTTTAGTGCAGAGACCGTGGTGACTGTATGGTGAGGGTCCCTCCCGCTGGCCACAGGCTTCTCCTCTGTTAAGAAGCAAATGTCAGCTCACGGAGAGGAGAAATGCGGGAAAGCAGCTTCCTCCATGTGTGTGTGATGGCTGGTGGGGGGCTGTTTGTGGTTTCAGCGGGTTTTTGGTGTTTTTTTTTAGCCTTCACAGGAGCCCTTTTCAGAATGCACTTGGGCCTGCAGGGACTGGCAGGCGGCTTCGTGTTCGGAACAGCGTTTGGGTGAGTTGCGACTGCTGCCGATGAGTGATGGAGGCACAGCTACTCTTTAAGGGAGTTGGTTAGATGGTGGCCTCACACACCAAGCCATGAATCATAGGTGGGGCTACAGAAGCTTTCCTTCCTCCCTTGCCTTGAGGGATTTTCTGTATTTCTCTTGGGACCTCATGGTGATGACTTTTCTTCCAACCTTTAAACTGGTTTGGTTTTTTTCTTCTTTTTTTTCTTGATTTGTGTTTTGCCGCTTCCTCAGCGATAAGAACTCAGTGTTCTCGACAGAGCATCTTACTTGCTGCTGTTTGCTTATTAGAGGAGACACTAACTCCTGTTAAATAGGAAATTACGAGGATGGGTTATAGACATATCTCGTGTCCCCCTTCCTTGGCATGGTCACTGATGAGCTCAAGTGGTTGTGCACAGAACCGTTGGACATCTGTTCTAAGGAACTGTTTTGTCTGTGGGTAAAGGCAGGAGTGTAAGATACAGCTTCTGCACTCCCTTCTCAGCAGCTGCTCCTGTAGCAGCTCGGAATCCAGACGGCGCACAAGGGGTGTCAGATGTCATGATGACACCTTTTGAAGAAGGGACACCCTGGGAACTGCCATCCCCCAGGTTAGGAATCTGTGTAAAAGTGATTTTTTTACAAAATAGGCTCCATCAAAGCCAAAAGGTGGAGCAGCAGCTGTTAGGAAATGCTGAGGAAGAAGCTGCGTGGTTAAGTTGCACAACCCAAGGCTGTAAGGTGGCACATCTCTTCATGTACGCCTTGCAGTCGTGTTATCTCCTACAGTATCTCCTGAAGTATCTCCTAAAGCTCCCTGGGGCATGGAGGAACCCAGGGTTCTCTCTCGAGGGCTCTGTCCATCAGGACAGTGACCTCTTAACTCAGGGGAAGTCTGACTTTTCAAGCAGACTTGGGATATCTTCTCGAAGTACTGACTTGTGAATATCCTCACAAGTGAATTTGGGGATCCTGCCTGGACAAGAGAATGAGCTTTATATGAGCACCATCAGGATGGTGTCAGCTGTGGGCATGCCTGGAAGCAGCCTAGGGAGCTTTACCGATGAAAACACAAGTACCTCCAGAGCTGGACAGAAGCTAAGCAGGGGTGTGACTGCCTGAATTATGGGTTAGGTGATCTACAGGGGTTGTTTGGGCACCTTAAATCCTTCCACCCTTTTGCCCTATGTGTGCCTGTCAATGAGTAAATTCAAAATATGTTTTCGAAGGGGCTACAGTGAGTCACAGCTGAAGACAGGCTGTGTTTGGTGGCTGACAGTAGAATAGGACTACCTTAGTCTGTGGTGTGATGTGAGTATTGGGGAACGTTACGCTCCACTGATCTGGTGGCTGGCCCCCACATGCTCCTTTTGGTGATGCCAGTAAGTTATTACTCTCACGTGTCCCCTGGGTGACTTGTGACTTTTCTGCTTCCTCCTCTAGGATCCCTGCAGGGGGCCTCTTAATGACAATGCAGAAGCTTGCCGGTGAGACCCTGCAGGAGAAGAGAAACCGTGAGCGCAGGGAGCTATATGAACAGAAGTTAGCAGAATGGTAAGGAACAGCTCTGCCTGTTTGAGTCTTAGACTAGAAGTATGTCCAGGTCTGTGTGGTTCAAACTTTTAAAGAAGCCATGACACACTAGGTTTTCTAAACCTCGGTTCCTATGCTCTTCAGTTTTTGGTGTGTTTCACATACCAGTCTGAGAACTGCTGATTTAGTCTTCCCAGCCTTAGATGTTGCTGCTTGTTTTATAACAAGGCATTTTGTTAAAAATTCATGCCCCCTCCAGCCCAGTAACTGCATCAGTTTTTCACTTTTGCTTTGGCTGAGAAGACAAGCAGGACAAGCACATTAGTATTTCTTTACCAAAATTGAGAGAGGCCAGAACTCTGGCTTTTTCTTCATTGCTGCCTTCTTTCCAGACCTGTTAAAAGAGAGGAAAGAAAAAGGACAGCTGGAGGCTTTGGGGAGAAAAGGCTATGACACTGGTTGCACGATGTACTAAAACTCACAAATAGCGCCAGTTCTAGAAGAAACTTTCCAAAAGTAGGGATTTTGCAGTGATGCTTTTGTCAGGAGGATATGAGCATAAAATTACTTTGCACTCTCTCTTCTTTCGTTAGGCAATCCAGGCTCAGTGTGATGGAGGTCTTAGGCCAAACAGAAAGCAATGCCCAGGGAGGATCGGAGACAGAGCAAGCAAGAGAATCTACGAGCTACTGAGTCTTCCCCAGATCTCTGTTGTAAGCAGCTACAAAGTGTTTTGATTCTGCTGGTAAAAGGCTTCAGTGAAGGGGTCATGGAAGTCTTCTGTGAACGCAGTTATATCCTGTGCATTTGTGAAAAAGCATTTTGCTGAAAACATTGTTCGTGGATGCATATCACTGCACAAGAGCTTGAAGGGCCAAACCTGTTCCACCTGAGAAGGTGGAAATGCAGACTAGGAAGTGTCGTCTAGGTTTGGCAGGGGGTGAGAGCAGCCCCAGTGCCTTTTCTAGAACCCATTTCACTGCTGAAAATGTCCAAACCACCAGCGATGTAGAAATATTCAAGGTAAAGGAGCCTATGAACAGTTTGGATGCTAACGGTACCCTGATTCCAAAAGCTGATTATGCTCTGGTGAAAGCCGCTCTTCAGACAGCGCCCGAAGACTTGCTGTCGAAGCGCGATACAGGCAGCACTGGAGCGAGCAGTTCTCCTCCTCTCACCGTCCCCCTCCCACAGCTTGACTTAGCCTGGCTGGGACCAGCGCTGTTTTGCCAACAGTGGTTTCTTCAGGCTTTTTGCAGAAAAAGACACTTGGTTCCTACAGTACTTGGGGTATTTTGCAATCAGTGTTGAGGAAGGGTGGAGGAGCCGGGAATGATATGGAAATACCCTGAAAAGGACATGCTTTGAGTTCCTCAATAGAAGTGTGGCTGAGGGGGCCACAAGAAGGATGAGTTGTTTCTGCTGGTGGTGGTGGAAGAATTGGCACTGTGGTCGGTTTTAACAGCAATCATTTAATTTGAAGGTTGGAAATCAGGGGGATTGCCTTTGGGGGAAATGTGGTTCAAGGTACTCAATAAAGCCATCGAGCAGTGGTGATTGTGTCCGTAAGCTCTTTATGTTGGTGCAGCATGTACTTTATGTTAATACAGTATTTGCATTAGAGAAACGTACTTGAGCAATATCCCAGGAGAAGAGCTCTATCTGAGATCCCACCAGCGAGCCGTGAAGTCTTGTGGCAGTGTCAGACATTCCTCTGTCCAGACAGTAACAAAGACAAGAGCCAGGAGAGTGCCAGCTCTGTTTATTATTTTGTACCAGAGATCAACTGTTAAGTCATAGCTGTTACCTATGAGTAGGGCTGAAGTTAATGTCATAGTGGTCTGTACCCAGAAGGGTCAGGTGGCCTATCACCATTTCCCTCGAAGCAGAAGGTCAGAATTCTGGTCCGCTTTCTTTGTTGGGGTGTTTCTCCTATTAAAGGAAGTCACATCCAGGCAGGGGATTCGGATCTCTGTCCCACAAGAAGAGAGTAGTCAGTCTGTTCTGGTTGAGTGCTTTCCTCTGTTACAGCTGATTGCTGTTGTTTGAAATATGAACAGTCAATTCCACAGAGCGTATTCCACCCACCCAAAGCAGATTTTTGGCACAGCTTGCTTCCAAGAAGGTGGTGTGTTTTCTGACTTCTGAAATGAGCATTTTATTTTTTTAAACACCTCAGTGTAGTTCAATTTTCCATTGAAGAAATATGTGTGTTTCAGGGTTGTCATCAACCGGCTTTGATTTTCCTTTTCTATGTGTAAATGAAGGATCTAAATAAGCAGAGATGTGTCTCTCCCCCTTCCAGTTTTAAGCTCTGCATTCATTGGTGACAGTAGTGTTATTGTCCTCTGCCCCCTCAAAAAACAAAATAGCAAGCCTTTCTGAATCACGTTTTTGCCATTGCGGTTACACACAGTGTTGTCTTATTTTTTTTTTCTCTTTTTTTTTTTTTTCCTGTTACATCCCCACCCAATATCATAGAATCATAGAATGGTTTAGGTTGGAAGGCACCTCAAAGATCATCTAGTTCCAACCCCCTGCCATGGCCAAGGACACTTCCCACCAGACCAGGTTGCTGGAAGCCCCATGCAGCCTGGCCTTGAACACCTCCAGGGATGGGGCACCTGCAACTTCCCTGGGCAACCCGTTCCAGTGTCTCACCACCCTCATTGTGAAGAATTTCTTCCTAATATCTAAATCACTCCTCTTATGGTTTGAAGCCATTCCCTATCGTCCTATTGCTTCATGCCCTTGTAAAAAGTCCTTCCCCGACTTTCCTGTAGGCCCCTTTAGGTACTAGAAGGTCACCTTAAGGTCTCCCTGGAGCCTTCTCTTCTCCGGGCTGAACAACCCCAACTCTTCTCAGCCAGTCTTCGTAGGAGAGGTGCTCCAGCTCTCTGATCATCTTCGTGGCCCTCTTCTGGACCCGCTCCAAAAGGTCCGTGTCCTTCTTGTGCTGAGGACTCTAGAGCTGGATGCAGTACTCCAGGTGGGGTCTCACAAAAGCAGAGCAGAGGGGCAGAATCGCCTCCCTCAGCCTGCTGGCCACACAGCTTTTGATGCAGCCCGGGTTGTGGTTGGCCCTCTGGGCTGCAATTGCACATTGCTGGCTCATGTTGAGCTTCTCATCAACCAACGCCCCCAAGTCCTTCTCCTCAGGGCTGCTCTCCAGCCATTCTCTGTCCAGCCTGTATTTGTGCTTGGGATTGCCCTGACCCAGGTGCAGGACCTTGCACTTGGCCTTGTTGAACTTCATGAGTTTTGCACAGGCCCACCTCTCAAGCCTGTCCAGGTCCCTCTGCATGGCATCCCTTCCCTCCAGCATGATGACCACACCACACAGCTTGGTGTCATCGGCAAACTTGCTGAGGGTGCGCTCAATCCCACTGTCCATGTCACCAACAAAGATGTTAAACAGCGCTGGTCCCACACTTTTATCTGTACAGCAGTTCTGATGACATTTAGCTGTGTCATTGCTCAGTCTTTCTCTATTCCTGTTTTAGTGATATTTGATGTGATGTCTAACAAATACTAATTTTCTTTTGTCTATGACCATTGATGCGAGGATGTTCTTCCATGGGAAAGTAGGCAGAGCCAAGGTGTAGCAGTTGTGTGTATTTTCTCTCCATGTAAGGAAGGAAGGGCTGCTAGATATCCTTATGCTGCACATTAGCAAGGGGAAGCAGAGACTTCCATCTGTGCTCAACTCAAGATTAGCAGCCATTTTTTTGCTCCCTGCTTAATTTAGTTCCCTGCACTTCCTCATTTCTTGTATTCACTGTCGAAATGGGGAGTGAAGAGTTGGTTCAGAGCTTATTTTTTAAATGCAAATGTAAGGGATTCTTCACACCTCCATTCTCCCCCCCTCCCAGCAGAAGCGCAGCACTGAAGTTATTGGTCCTCCACTTTCAGAGTAGGCAACACAAATAGCGGGGATACAGTGAGAACATCTTACGCTGGATTTTGCTTTTGCAGAGAACCTCCCTTTTTGGGAAGGAGAAGGAAGACCTGTCGCAAACAGTGTGGAACACCATAGCTACACTGCTCAGTTAATCCCTGGCACATTGACAGACGTGAGATATGTGGGAGTTACACTCGGGAAGGTACCCGAGTGCCATTTTATCATTGCTGTAGAGCACACCAGAGCTGTTCAGCTGCATCACCTACCTTGATGCTGCACAGTCTATATTTTTAGCAGCTGCAAAATGGTGGCTGGGGCTCACGTGAGTAACTGAAAGGCTCTATCCCAGCATATAGAACAGACATCTTTTATTACTGAGGAAAGAACACTGAGATTACCTTTTATTTTTTAATACAATTACAGGAGGAACCCCAGGAAAAAATTGTTATATACAAAATACCTGTGATAAACAGAGCAGCTCACCTGGTACAAAGCCCCAGATATTAAGCTGAAAAGGTCTCACGGAAACCATTTGTGTGCAATTCACTGAATACAGCATAAGGCAATAGAAAACATGATTCATAGTATAAGGGCTTAAGGAAAAAAAACAAATAACCTGCCCATCAAGAACATAAAACCAAACTGATGCTAAACATATTTTGTTTCCTTTAGAAGGACTTACTTAAAGTGTCACAGGAGTCTGCAGTGATATAGAAAGGTTTGGCACAGTGCAAAAGACAAACTGTTCTCTGGGATGCTGTGCAATCATCAGTCAGGAACAGAAGCAGAGCATGAGATAGAGGGGAAAACGTGCAGGTACAACTGTCAGAGCTGCGGTGTGGTTGGTAAGGTGGAAATGCACCATGGTTATAGCAGGGAAGGGAGCACAATGTTGAAAACGAGCAAAGTAAAGACCAAAAAAAAGGGTGTTCAGCCTGCAAGAAGCCAGTAGTTTGTGCTGGAAAGGACAAGCGTCAACTGAAAGAAAAGGAAACAGGAAAAGTATGAGGCACTGTTGCCCATACACCAAGTCCTGCTATAAGGTCAGGCTGCCTTTTGGTAAAACTGCTTTCTGCATCACCTGGGTTCCGCTTGCAACCCGAATGCACAAGCGCAAAGAGTATTGTTTCCTTATCACCCACCTTACCGCCTTTTCTCTGACAAAAAACCCTCTGCAAGAATGTTCTGAAGTTCCTGTTTCACTTCATACAATGGAAAAGCAGTAAAAAAGCTGATGGTGCAGCATGACTCTGCAGGAGTAGAAAGGGAGCAGTGTCTTATTTTTCTCTAGCGACTTGATCCCTTAGCCTCTCATAGCTCAATCCTCTATAAACCGCTTTTAGTGCTCCTATTTCCTCCAGCAATTTCTCTCTCAATATGTACCTGCTAAAAAAAAAAGTGAAATGGATGGAATATTTCTGTGCTGTGTCCTAGCAAGATAAACAGCTCAAGCAACAAAACATCCCACAAAGATGACAGCGTGGTGCTTTCAGGCTTTGGTCTGGCCCTGCTAACCACACATGGATAGCGCAGTACGGGAATGGGTACAGCTTGCAGTGGGACAGAGCAAGAGAGAAAAACAAACCTGTCAAACTCAGGGCAGGGCTGAGTTAGGTTAGTATGCAGAGTCGCTTAGGAAGCTTGTTGGGGCTTGGGGCTTTTTCCTCTTTTTCCCCTCAAAATGAGAAACCACTTTTTCCTACACAGTAGGCAAGAATATCACCCAGATCAGACGAGTCCTGTCCAGTGTTAGCATCCGGTAGGGAACTTCTGTCAAGTCCTGGCTGGGTAGAGAAAACGCTGGCAGAAAGCTGCAGTCTTCAACGTAAAGTAAATCCGTATGTCTCTGTGAGAGACTCCCAAGAATCTGGGGAGCCGACCCTAACAAGCATTCCTAAGGCAAAGCTACAAACAAAAGCAGACCTATATTTACGAAGCAAGTCCCTGAGTTACATTTTGTTACAGTAGATATATGTGAGAGAACCACTGAATGTTACAGAAATTTAAATGGGGCTTTACAAGTGTGGATAGGGAGGCATGTGTGTAAAAAGCTTGTACGTGTGTATGTGCAAAGGTGTGCACATGCGTGCACCACCACCAGTGGGCTGCGCTCTGTCAGATGTGCTCCTGTATGACCGAGTAATTGAATGGAGGAGCTGTACTTTGGTACCCGGGTCGGCGAGGCCATCCTTTCAGGCGAGAAAGGTTATGAGAACTTCTGCCACTGCAGTAGATAAGCAATATTAGTTAGCTGTTAGGTGTGCCGTCAGTATGTATCATTCCCTAAAAAGTCTGATAGCACAGAATATAAGCATGAGGCATATAGTCCCACCTCAAGGTGCTTTTTCATGAAAAGTGTGTGCATCATTGCCTCTTTAGCAGAGAAGGGACATGTATCTGTAATGGTCAAGTCCAAATCAAGTCCTCCAGCACAAAGAAGAGTACTGGCAGATACCCACGTGAGGCTGAATATAAAAGAAGTTTTAGATGCTCCCAGTCGCAACATGGAGGCACTGCCTGACATGAGAGTGTGTCGGGGTCTGGGGTCTCCCAAAGGCCAGCTCTACTTTACTAAAGGGGTAAGTAGGCGTAGGCTACCAGCGAGGGCTCTGCAGGGCCCCCTGAGTTTCATAGAGGCAGCATCAAAGCAAGAGGATCCCAAACTCTTGAACTGGTATGCTGGAGCAGCACCATGCTGACGACTTTCTTCTGCCCCGTTGCAGGAACACGGAGGGTTGTCCCAGTTGGAATTCCAGTGACCCCATTGTAATGAGACGACCCCACAGCTTCTGTGGCGTAGGTGGGGTTTTGTATTAATTCACGCAAGATTATGTTGTCAGTCTTCTTGAACAGTTTTCTACTGCTGTCATCCACATTCAGAGAGCCAGAGGGTCAACGCAATAAGCATTGCTGTACAACGAACAGTGGGGACTGCAGTGCAGAATACACAGGATAAGAAACCTGAGGGACACAAAGAAAAGATTTTACTGATTTTCTCTCCCCTTCTTCTTAACCCTAAATGTAAGGCAGAATGTTGCAGAGCTGAGACAAACAGGAATCACTTGCAATAGCCCTCCACAAGAGGGCTCCTACTACAGTAAAGACAGAGCTGTTCAGACCTAGACAGCTCAAGATAGGCACCGCAGCGAGCTACAGACTGGCTCAACGCGTACTGTGAAACCCTTTGGACCACACAGAGGTGCCATTCCTCTGCGACGGGAGGATGACTAACGAATGCGCTACCCTATTTAAGCAGCAATGGGCCATGGCTCAGCGCATCCCACAGTTACGAGATGACAGTCAGCTACTAAGGAAGCACTACTTTGTCCTAGCTCACAGCTTCCACCCCTGTCCACAGCCAGCAGCCATTCCAGGCACTGGAGTTGGTAAACGCCAGCCACTTACAGAAAGAGCCTGGCAAACTTTTATAACAAAAGAGGAATGTGGCAGAATGGATTTATGCAGTAGGTGAACTCCTGCCACTCCCATCACAAAAGCCCCCAGAATTCATGCTAACCAGGGCTCTAGTATCTGTTCCAGATAGGGCCTTCCCCAGAGGAAAACATGAGTGGGTGGTCTAGTTTGGAAATGAGATGAGTGGCCTGAATGATAGTTTCCCCTCTTTTCCATTTCAAAAATGTTAAGCTTTTAGATTACCGCAACGCACAGCGTGACAAATTCATGACTTCTAGGACTCTACAGTTGTTACTCTACGGCATTACCCTGGCAATTCAGCATGCTGTGGTGAAAGCAGGAAATGCAGTCACCTGGATAATGATGTGAACAAGACCAGTTAGCTGCTAATCTTTCCTTAAGTCCTTTGACTTGAAAAATATCTTATTGGAGGACACAGCCCTGAACACAGCTGAGCTTTCAAGCCCAAATGAATACAATGCTTTGTAGTCATAAAACCGTGGTAAGCCAGACTTTTCTCCAGCCCATCCTTCACAACACCTCATTATTGAAAGTAGCTCCTTCTGAAATACGAGTGTTTCCTGGGCAAGTCTTGGAGGGGAAACTTCCTCCAGCTGCTGAAGGGAATGGAGGTATCTCAGAAGCGGACTGGCATTGCTAATCTTCCTGGGAAAACTGGAATCATTGGCTCATCGTTGACCTCTCCCTCACAGTCATTTAGTTAATCCTTCATTTCTATCATCAGTGATATTCCCATGTTTATGCATCAGATCAGGCATGTGGCTGACACCATCCGTGCAGGGCCCATTCTATGGAGAAAGCAGCTTAGCAGCCCAGGAAATGTGGTCCTCTAACATTTTTCACTAGATTTACCTCTAGAAATTTGAAAAAACCCAAACAAAGCAGTGCCCCACAAGCAACAAGAGCATCATTCCTCTAGTTACCTGGCTGAGAAACACCATGTGTCTAAGTTGGCAATAGGGCCCTACCAACTTTTATTTACCCTAAAGGACAGCACACACTCATATTAAAAGTCATACATGGTTCTGTGAGCTAACATCACACGAGAATATAATAGTATTTGAGAAGCTATTCTGGCACGAGAAGAATGGTGAAGAAAATTACCTGCAAATGCGATCTGGTCATACAGATGATGTTTCAGATGTCACTTTAGAGCTCAAGGGTGTCTTCGTACATTCTTTCACACCCTCTTCCACTGAATCCTGAGTCTTACAACAGTGAGAACAGACTGAAAAAGGAAATCCCTTGTTAGTATCTGGAATTCCAGAAGACACGAAAGTGCTGAATCCAAATGTCTTCTTCAACAAAGTAAAGTATAACTGACAGTGGGGAGAGAGGAGAGAAGAAATTAAAGAAAAAGAAATCTTTTAGGTCTAGTTACTTCTGTTTTTCCTTGGCAGGACTCATCCCTGCGGTACATCTGAATATGGCTGGCCCATAGCCATAGTCTGATCTGACAGAAAGCTCTGTTATATATAAATTTTATCTATATAGATTCATATGGATAAAACAGTTCTCATTAGCACAGGGCTAGGACCTCAGCCTGGCACAAAGACAGGTGATATAATGACATGCTGATATAATGTCACAAGGGAAATAATGGTAAAAGTTAGATGTCACTAAATGCACTTTACCAAGCAAATGAAAGAATGCCGTCGGTAGAACCAGTCAATCAACTCTTTCGGGGCTTTAAAAGTAGTTCTGATTAAACAGGTCCCCTTAGTATCTCAATATCTATGAACGACTTTTGTTTTAACAATTCAAGCTGAATGTTACTGTACTATTACAGTAAATTGTACTTGCACAAACTTTGCAACATGGATCCTAAGCCATTCTATAAGTGACCACAATCTTGGTCTAATCTTGGTGCTTTGTGTTAAATTAATTGAAAAGCCATTAAAAAAAATCTAGAGCTTTCATTCTTATAAGCAAGTTAGCCTGTGAGCTCCTCAAAGCAGGGCATAGTGAACCTCAACAAAGCATCTACGTGTTTTGGTCACCACCACAATCACACATCTGAGAACCCTTATTTCCGTTTTGCGCTATCTTTCTATTCTTCCCTCCCACACTTCAGCTCTTTGAAGCATGGCTTTCTTAGCGCAGAAACCACTCTTAGCATCAATGCAGCTCCCAGCGCAGCTTTCCATACACCAGCACGACAGAGGTACGCTCAGACCTATTCTGAGCTCCCACAATAGCTCTTGAAAGGTCACCTGTAGCAACACCAGCAGCAAGCACTCTCAGGACAGATATTTCCCTTCCTAGCCGGGTGGCAATACACAGCAGCACCGAAATGCGACAACTGTACAAACTGGGAAGTTGGATTGAAAGTCTAGCTTCGGTTTCTTACAGTATACGCCTGGTCTGGAAAGTGGCTGTACAAAATAGCACCACCTGACTCGGCAAGTCTACTCCCTCTGCATATTAGGAAAATGGGACTGAAAGGGAAATTCCAGTTGATGCGGCTATGTCCCATGCAGTTGCAGGTGAGCACATTCTGCCACATTGGTATGCTTTTCACATCTACTTTAGAAGCAATTTGGTTTCTATATAAAAGGCTATCTCAGAATGCTCCAGAATCTTACTAATTTAATGGTAAGGAACCTTTTAATTTCTAGCCTGTATTTATTTAGAGCGAAATCCTCCAATTCCAGTTCATTTTTTCCTGTAATTAGAAGTTCATTATCCATGCAGCTAATAGCACAGGCTGTGGTCAGCTGTGATTTTCTTGGTTTCAGCCTGCTTGCTGCTTTGCCATTGACATAGCCCCAGGGAACAGCAGGGGAGAAACAGCACTGGTGTCATAGGGGCACATGAGTGGAAAATGAGGACGTGCACAGGTGTAGCCAAGAGTCACTGCCTTCCGGAAGCTTCCTTTATTTGTGATAAAGCACCAAAACGAAAATTAGCCCAGGCTGACTCAGTGGTCACATTGGTTTTTGAAAAGATGTGGTTGGTGAGGAGGGGAAAAGAAAAATAGTAGTTCTACCTCCACACCTCTAACTTGGAAGTGAAGTTGCCTGAAGTTGAAATAGAAGTATCAGAAGACACAAGCGTGACAAACTTACAAGCATCCCTAAGTGAACCGAGTCCCTGCTGCCTAGCAAATAACCTCTTTCCAAAGGGGGATACCAATGCGACTGGGATGAACTTAGACTCTCAGACCGGTGGCTTCTGGTTTAAGTCAGCTGAACATAGAGTGCTCTGTCTGGGGTTCTTGTCTCCAGACTTGACTTCCCCAGTGACCTGACAGAACTTGATTGGTTGATATTTATAACGTGTTGCAAGGCCTGCTGTCTTTCTCCAGGACTGCTTTTCAAAACTGCTAACAGGGTGTGGATAGGACATCTACTGCTGTTGACTTTCAATACTGGCTGGATGTCCAGCTGCCTTTATAAATCCATTAGCTGTCTACCCACATCTTCAAGGACATTCTGGCTAGGTCAGCTTAGACATGATTAGGAGCAAGAGCTAACAGATGAGATTTTTTTTTTTTGAGCCACCAAAAAAAAATAATCTACTCAGCTGCTAGCTAACTCTGAGATGCTCGAGGTCCTCTTTGGCATTGAAAAACTGCCGGAGACATACCTGGAGTTAGTGAAGACTTCACAGGGTGGGACAGGGCACCTCACCTATGCCATTTTTGGCCACACGAAGAACACAAATCCATCTCTCCTGTTTGAGGTTCTCCTAAAAGTGGGACATTGCTATGCTTAAGTCCCTTTTGTGGCCCTATATATTTTTGTAACTTTGGCTCTGTGACTTTTCTAAGGGATTGTCTAAGTAGGGTGTGCAGAGAGATCCCATTTTGAAACTGTCAGTGCTCAGCAGTATCTATCATGATCATCAAGATTCTTGGCATCTTCAAGCATCTTAGTACATAAAAATGGACCTTTGTGAATCTCTTCAATTCCGTATACCTTTGATTTCAGAAATATTCTGCTGTCAAAACACCCCATCACCCCTTCACTCTCAAACCTGAACCTTAGTGCTGCCTGCACACAAAATGTAGGAAAGTCCTGAGCTGGACTTAGATTTTGTGACAGTAGATGCTGCATGAACAACACAAAAAAAAAAAAAAAAGGAAATGAGAAGACAGTACAAAAATACCTAATGTGTCAGTATAGTTTCTATTAATGCATATTTTACACAGAAACTCCACAACCAGTAAAAGACTGTGTCTTGAAAAAGGAGCTACACTTACCACGCCTTGGAAGGTATCTTGCTGCTAGGGTGATAGCCAAAAGGAAGATGATAATGATGATACTTGAAGCAGTAATGACATTGTAAGATGGAGGCACAGTAGGGACAATACAGTTATTTGTTTTTTCTGAGACAGAAAAAAATAAAACATAAATAAAGGACCCAACAACACATTGACATTTTCATGTAAGAGCAGGTATCTGAATTTTGGTGATTCTGACCAAATTCTAACTCAGATATTCAGCCTGAAAATGTACCTATTCAATAAACAAACTGACAAAGTTGGCACATAAATTTCTTCCATTCCCCAACATTTGCTATGCGCTGAAGTTTTTAACGCATCCACAGAATCATAGAATCATAGAACGGTTTAGGTGGGAAAGGCCCTTGAAGATCATCGAGTTCCACCCCCCCTGCCATGGGCAGGGACACCTCCCACTAGACCAGGTTGCCCAAGGCCACGTCCAGCCTGGCCTTGAACACCTCCAGGGATGGGGCCTCAACAACCTCTCTGGGCAACCTGTTCCAGTGCCTTACCACCCTTAAAGTGAAAAACTTCTTCCTGATGTTTAATCTAAACCTGCCTTCTTCCAGTTTAAAGCCATTCCCCTCGTCCTATCACTACATGCCCTAGTAAAAAGTCCTTCCCCAGCTCTCCTGTAGGCCCCCTTTAGGTAGTGGAAGGCAGCAATAAGATCTCCCCGGAGCCTTCTCTTCTCCAGGCTGAACAGCCCAAACTCTCTCAGCCCCTCCTCATAGGAGAGAATCTGAAATGCTGGATCTTTGTCCAGAACAGGACCGAGACAGGCAATATTTAAAAACACATAAGCTGGTTTTAAAGAAACTGGTTAGGATTGGTGGAAAAGTCTGAATCCATTTCTAGACAACTTCCATTCTCAAAGGTAATCTGCATTTTTTCTTACTGTTTTCACCAAATCTGTGCCTTTTTTTTTTCCTTCTGAATGCACAGTTGATGGAGAATGTTGCATTAAATAGACTAGAATGGACTTTTTTTCTGCATGGCAGGAACAGGGCATTGTGGCAGAGTTCAGTTTCAGTGGCTCCGGAGCCTTTGGCTTTTCACCACTGAAGATGACCATTCTGCCACTTGGATATTAGAGTAGATAATGGGCCATTCTTGTACAGTACAGGATAACCTTAATTCAACAGGAAGGACAGATTTGGTGCATATTCATAGGTCTTCAGATTCCCATCATCTTCATCTGGCACAATTAAGCAACATTCAACTTCTAAGACACTATCCTGATCTGCTGTACGATCTTCCCCTCCACTGTAGGGTTTGCCTCCTACATTTACTGGAGGCTGTATTCTGTCTGGAACTCCATGTTCATGAAAGACTTGTTAGGAGGACCATTTTCATCATACCAAAATGGGAGTGATTTCACATCTTAAAAACAAAAAAGTGGGGGGTTGGTGACTGCTGTTGTCACTGTTGATTACACCCTCCTCTGAGAAACTGTGTAATAACAGTGTATTACTATTACTACCTTTTTTTTGTTGCTCTCCTTTTCTATGTGGTATGATATTAATAACATTCTTCCATTACCATCTGTAGGGGCATTATGAACTACATCCACCAATAACCAATATTCATATAGCACTAATTTCTGGAATGCATCCTGAAGCTGAATGGCATCTCTCCTCACGAGCCCCTTTAATTTTAGTAAGATTGATGAATAAGGTACTTTGATGAATAAGGTCCAATTCCCTTGGAAAAGTAGCACCTTTCTAGCTTCCCTTGAAGGTGTCCTTATCTCTACAGTGAAAACATCAGACCCAGAGACATTTCAGAATAATTTTTTGGTAACAACATTAAAAAAAATCCTTTTGTTTTTAAGAATTTTCTTGTAAATCCCCTTCTACTGCACAACATCTGGACTGGAGTGTACTGCCTTCCCTCATGCTGTTTCCACTTGTGCCTCAGGGTTTTCAAAGCACAGACTTATCTGTTATGTTATCACTTTTAAGCCACGCACAGTGATGGATTTTTTTCTGTATGAGTTAACCCTATATTAAAGACGTGTATGAAAGCAGAATATTTTCTAGACCCCAGCTGACAGCGTCTGTCACTGAAGCAGGAACAAGCATGCTTGTTAAATGAGGAAATTCTTTTTAAATGCAACCTGTGGCTTTTGAGGCACACACATTTCTCAAGGCCTTCCATTCGAGTACCAGGTCTGTGTCACCCAACTGGCAGCAAAATTATGCTGGTACAGAGGGGCACCCAATGGTGGTCACCAAGGCTGACATCACCAGATCACAACAGGATCCAGCTGCCCTGTAGCCCAGCTGTGACTCACAGGAGAGCGGAAGGAAGCCAGAGCCATCTCTGCTTGTCAGTCACTGCTGTAACTCTCTTCTCCCATCCCTGCTGTCTTAGAGCCTTTCAAAGGCTCTATTTTGGTGAGCAGCTCACAGGTGGGATCCTTGCATGAACTGATTCACCAAACCTACTGCTTTCTCAGAGAGGCAACTCAGCAGGTTCAACAGAATGGTTTTGTAACACAAACTATTAACAAAACCTACTCAGAAGCAAACTGGTGGACTTGGCAAAGCCATTGTATTCAACGGAGCAAGTGATGCTGACGTCTTTGGTCACGTTGAGCCGCAGTTCGCCAGTGATGTTGTACGGGCTGAAGCTGGACTCGGACACCCAGCTGATGTTCCACACCACGGACACGTTGTTGAGGGTTCCAGAGATTTTGGGCTTGGGGAAACCTCCATGAGAAGAACAGCTTACCACCATCTCAGTTGATTCACAAGAATAAGTGGATACGTCTGCTGTTATGTTCGGCTTACTGAAATCAGCTGAAGCAAGAAAGATTTAGTTACCATTCTGTCAGATTACAGTGAGGGCTACAGTTCTGAGCACCCACAGTCAAAGCAAAGACTCCTCCACAGGGCATTCTTCCTCTGTCATAGCCTGTTTGGTCTTTCTTGTGCCTTAGCATTCTCCCCACAGCCTTGAATGGATATGGGCTTGACCTTTGCTTCTTCTCCTCCCTGGGCAGTATACAGGCTTCATGACCCCACCTCTCCAATGCCACTGTTTCTCTCTACATACAGCAGTTTGTGGAACAACAGAAGGAATCATAAAACAGGTAGGAAAAATACAGGACTGAATAAAAATCCGTATTACAGGCAACAGTAGACAATTATTTCCTTTTCCCTCCCTCATTAGTCCCTTCCCAGCCAGAAGCTCACAAAGGGTCCATCTCTGTTGGGAGAGGAGATGAGTCACATGTTGGTCTCTCAGCCAGGATGGCCAGCAAGAGACTGAATTACGTTTCCTGCACGACAGCCCCTCCAGAAAGCCCAGCTGGGAGCAAGACCCAGTCATACTAGTTTTTGCAGAAATGCATAGCAATATACAGGTCCTCCCAGATCATGTTTGCACTGGACCTTTTTCTCATCGCCAAAGCCTATTTTCAGAGATTTCCCACCCAGCCAGCTTGTTCCATGCCTTCCCTCCTGGTCAGATGTATTGCTGTGTTTGCAAGGCTGCATAGTGAAATGGATGAGAGGACTAATATGAGTGAAGAAGGAGAAGAAAGGTGGTGTCATTTTAGGCCCACTTCCCTTTGCCAATCTGCTTCACTGTGTTACTGTAAACAGTTGCATTGGCACAACTCAGGATGCCCACGGGTTGCAATTGAACAGCCCAGGGTGAGGAAGAGGAGGCAAGGGGTAGCAAAGGAACTATTTAAGGCAAGTCTCCCACTGGAAAAATCTCCATGGGACCACATAAGCAAGAGAGGCACCAGTCGGAAAAAGAAACGTAGTGTGTGGCTTCCTGGTGGGTGTAAGTCACACCACCGCTGCTGCTAAAGGGACCAAACACTCCCTCCCACCCCTTCCAGCTGTAGGTCCATAGCCTGCACACCCCCTCAGGCACTAGCCCCAGCCATGGCAAGGCCAGGCAGAAAGCTGTAGCAGCTTGCTCATCTCACTGCAAACTGACCCTTTTTGGAGCAGCTAAGGTTTTGTCTGCCATTGCTCCCTGCCTGACTCACCATTTGACCACGTGACTGGTGGGATCTGCGCAAGGCAGATGGTCTTGCGGTCGTAGCGTGTCTTCTATGGTTTCTGATGACCATGAACCCATCGTCTAGGCTACCAAGTAACCAGTGAAATAAACTTGCTCAACATTGCACGCCCAACCAGTGGTGGGCAAGGAGAGACACAGATTTCCTTCCAGGGCCACTATCTGTTGAGCAATACAGCATTGACATCCAGCCTGGAAAGGCCCTTAAAACCTCCCAGACAGCTTCACCAAGGCTCCCTGATCAGTCATCAGGGAGTAACACCTTTTCACCTCTCTCAGGATAGCCAGATTCCAGCAGGGGCAAGGGGACTTCTCCCTTTCCTGATAGCCACAATAACCGATCCCACTTTTCCAAAGGGAGCAGAAGTCTACCACAGTGATTACAACTGGCCTATTAAGACAGCAAGGGGATTTCTGGAAGGAAAGAAACTGGAGTATTTGCAAGGAGGAAAAGAGAGCCGTTATTTCACATTTTTCATGCAGTTGACTCCTCAGCCCTCTTGGTTAGAGAGGGTGCTGGCAGTTCACTTCCCTTTTTTCATATCGGTTCCCAGAAAGATCACTAAATTTGTCTCCTTGCACATATGCCCACCATGCCCTCAGCCAGGCAGGCAATGCCAAACTTCAGGAGCTTGGTTTTGTTTGCTGACAAATCTCTCTCCAAATGGGGAATTCTCATTCACCGGCTTGTCTGGAATATTCCTGGAACTCTCTGCTGCTAAAGGTATTCAAATGCATGGATATATTTATATGTGTTACCAGTATCTCTGCCTTTGGTTGAAACCAACTGCCACAAAACCAGTGGTGGAAATGGAAAATAATGTCAATGGAACTTTTTGTAGCCTCCAAGAAAAGATTCAGATTCGTTTTGAGCAAAGGAACTCGGGTTGTTTCTTTAAGGTAAAAAGTTTCAAATCTCCAGCTGAGTTCAGCCTTTGGTTGTAGAGCTGCAGTGTAGCCAGAGAGCTGGTCAGCCCCCTGGAGACCCTGGGCTCCCAAGGGATTGGATGCAGGGCTGGGATGCTGCTGTGGCCACAGAGGAGCAATGTCAGCCCATTCCTCTTTCGGCTTGGATGCTTCCCATGCACCAAGGGCTTGGTCTCTGCTTTGGCCAAAAGACAGCAGGGGGCAGAGGTGGCCTAGGGCACCTACCAGCAGTGGTACCTGGAGAGGTGTCCTGGGAGAGGTCCTCGCCCAAGAGGGAGGCATCAAGGGGAGGATGGTAGGCTGGTGGTAGGTAAGATGAATTTTCTGTACATAGGGTAGCTTTGGAAAGATAAGGAGGGAAGCTCTTAGAATGGAAATACAGGGACCTTAACACACCTTCCAGCACTCTTTTAGGCTTCCCGATGAAAGTCTATCTATCTGCTACACTATGACTAAAGCTTGGAGGAGTGTCTCTTACCCCCAGAAGTTGGCATGGTAAAGCCTCAGGTGTTGGGAGGCAATCCACCTACCTGTAACAAAGAGGGTGACAGTCTCATCACACAAAACAAATGAGTTCTGCGAAGATTTGTGCTGAACTACACACTGGTAAGGGCCGTTGTCCAGGATTTCCACGGGGGAGATCCACAGGGTGAAGTTCCTGGAGTCCATTTCTGTCCGGTTCTCATACCGTTTGTGCTTGGAGATCTCCTTCCCCTCTGCGTAAGCAAGCACTACCTCTGTGGTGTTCGTCTGCCAGTAGACCCGGTAATTATGTAGGCTTTCCGAGCTCGGAATTTCATGACAACAAGGCAGGCCGACTTTTTCTCCCAGTTTGCTTTTGACTACTTTCTTCTCCAGCGCATAGCCTGTAGGTGGGGGGCAAACAAAAGTCAGTGAGACAGTGGTATAGCCTTGTCCTAGGACCTGCTGCATAGAGATCATCTCTTTCAGCTCTGTCTGTGCCCACTGATGTCCCTCATCACCCACCGAGCTGTTTACAACTTCAGGTCTGCACGGAGGGGAGGGCTACCTTGGCAATGCCTTTCACATGATGCTGCAGTGTTAATTAGGATGCTGAGCTAGCAGGTACACAACAATTTCTGCATGAACTACTGAAGGCAAAGGCAGGAGAGTCACCTGCCTGAACAGAAATTTTGCTGGCCCCTTAAAAAAACCCACACCTCAGAGTAAAGAATTGCCATTATTAATGTAAAGGGATAAAAACATACATGCCCAAACTGCTGTATCCTCTGGTCTCCCTTTTCAGAGCCCAGTGTGTCACCCTCCAGTGGGTTCCCTGCATGCCAGACAGGGCCCCAGTTTGGGGATTTGGGGGGTTTTTTTTTGAAAGGGTTTTTTTGGTAAAAGAAAAAAAAGCCAAATCTTTTAAGATCCTAGAAGCTAGAAGCAACCCTACAATAATAAACAAAGGTTACAGCCACACTAACATCAGCATCCTAGTACTAGCAAATGAACAATTTTGCGAAGTCTAGCTAAAACAAATTTATATTTGTGAAGGCCCAGGGGCCTCCCTTGGGATTACTTGCAAACCAGCACAGACATTTCCCAACTCCTGCCCAGCAACCGTGTCGGTGCCATACCTAGTATACAGGCATGTGCCTACAATAACAAACTGATGCCCTTGCAAGGGGGAAATTGGGTACAACTTTCACTAGGTTCGCAGTAATCCCCTTGCTTCGCAGCATGACTTCTACGCATGCTGCCCCTGTGATCAGCCCTGTTTTCCCACTCCCTTTCCTCTTTCCAGGGGGTAGGGCCCAGGACCTAAAATGGAAGGGAGCAGCCTAGCAAGGAGCTCCTGCTGTTGCTGGAAGAGCAACACAGTACTGACGCACAGTCCTGTGCTGTAGCCAGGCCAGGGCAGACGGTTGGGCTTTTGCTTGGGTTTGTGCAACCTTCAGGACGACGCTTATCCCTGTGCACTCTGCTTTGTTATTCCAGAAGGTTGGGTTGCTTTACATCGCTTTACGTTTCCTCTGCTTGCCTCAGCCTCACTACCTTAGCACCCATCTCCAGCAGTGAAAGGGGGATACCAATCTATTGCACTCCATTGACTAAGAGCAGAAAAACAAAGAAATAGCTGGCCTCAGGACAGAGAAGATTCAAATTCCCTCTTCCCTCCCTGCAGAACAGATCTCAGTAAACCCGTCTGAGAGAGAAAGTGGGAAAGTCCTGACCAGGCAGTGTGTCACTGATGAAGAGAGTGCAGCATCACCGGTCAGTGGAGGTGGGATCCCACGTGCAAAGCCTCTGCCTGAAGTATGAACTGAACACCTGACAAAGCTGAGCCTAAGAACTGCCACCCACCCACAGCAAAGTCTAGCTGGTGCCGGCTCACACATTATTGTCACAGCTAACGTCTAACCACAGCTACATCGTACGCAGGCACAGACTGCAGCGCTTAAGGTGTGAGTAGGATGGTGTGACATTCAGATTCAGATGAAGTGTCCAAAACGGCCACAAGCTTGTTGCCTGACAGGAATTGTTGTGGTGACTCACAGACCCTTGGGACGCTGTCACAGAGCCAGCAGTGAGACCCCTGTGGTGTGCTGACCTGTGCCCAGTGGCACACCCTGATGAAGTGTGCCCTGGCGGCCAAGAAGGCGAATGGCATCCTGGGGTGCATCAAGAAGAGTGTGGCCAGCAGGTCGAGGGAGGTCCTCCTCCCCCTCTGCTCTGCCCTGGTGAGGCCACATCTGGAGTACTGCATCCAGTTCTGGGCTCCCCAGTTCAAGAAGGACAGGGAACTGCTGGAGAGGGTCCAGCAAAGGGCAACGAAGATGATTAGGGGATTGGAACACCTCTCATATGAGGAAAGGCTGAGGGACTTGGGTCTCTTTAGTCTAGAGAAAAGAAGATTGAGGGGGGATCTTATTAATACTTACAAATACTTAATGGGAGGATGCCAGGGGGATGGGAGTAGTCTTTTTTCAGTGGTGCCCAGTGATAGGACGAGGGGTAACGGGCATAAACTTGAACATAGGAAGTTCCATCTTAACATGAGAAGGAACTTCTTTACTTTGAGGGTGGCAGAGCACTGGAACAGGCTGCCCAGAGAGGTGGTGGAGTCTCCCACTCTGGAGACATTCAAAACCTGCCTGGACGCTGTCCTGTGCAACGTGCTGTAGGTGACCCTGCTCTGGCAGGGGGGTTGGACTAGATGATCTCCAGAGGTCCCTTCCAACCCTGACCATTCTGTGATTCTGTGATTCTGTGAAGTGGTTTGCAGTCCTCCAGATGCTGGTGCTGGAGGGAGACAAGCAGATGTTCAGCCAGCGCCCTGGCACAGGCAGGTCTTGGGCCAGCATCAGGGGTCACTTGCTGAAGTTAATCCCAGACAGAGAGCCTGGGACCTAACACGAAATGTTGAAATAAGCTTTCAACTCCCTCCCCTGCAGCACACCTACACCTGTCCCACTTGCATGCTTTACATTAAATTTGTAGGAAATCCACAGAAAAATACTGGGGAGGCCCTGGCAACACTATGGCATGTTTTAATATTAATTTAATAAAATAGAAAACGTAGTTAAATGAGCAGGTTCTCCTTTAACTGGGTTCCCTCCACTCAACCACTTCACTGGTCTTCCAAAGGTAAAAGATTCAAACACGTTTTTCCCCCCACTACCTGTACTTCCCCCTATAATGCATTGCAGACTCTGAGCAACCAGTGGGGCAGACCAGGAGCCCACTCAGCCTGCTGACCTGTGTCAGCCAGCAACTGGTAGCAAAATGGTAGAAAAAACAGTTCTTTCACACCACAGGGATAAGAACTGCCATACTTTGGCAGCCAGGAATTTAGGGATTTTTTGACATCAGCAGTTTAATTGCTACTGCTAAACCTACTCTTCAGGAACAGTTCTTGCCCCTTCAGGAGTGCATATATATTTTTGGTTTCCACAACATCCTGTGATGATGAGTTGCACAGTTTGATTATATATCGTGTGAAAAAGCATTTCCTTCTGTTCACCTTAAAAGCAGCCCACTTTAGGCTGTGATTCTTGAAGTTCCTCCTCCTGTGTGTCTGCATGCATTTGTGCGTGTGTGTGTTTTTTCCCTCGACCACATTTTCACTTGTTCTCACAGTTCAGCTTTTACTATTGCTGGAGAGACTCACAAGAGCAGCCGGTCAAACTTTGGGATTGTGGAGCCTGATAAAGACAATTTTCTGTTTTCTTTTGCAGCAATAGGGGAAGAGTGGGCGTACAGTAAATGTCAGGGTGACATCGCATCATGAGTTGCATGAGGTTCTCCACGCCTTGCCCCTAAGAGTCTCCTTTGCAACCAAAAGGAGAACAAAAACCTCCTCAGCAGTACATGTGCAGGGGCTGGAAACTCCTGATGATGTCACATCTACCCTTAAAAGGCTCTGCACGCTTGAAACTGCAACCTGAGTGCTGCAAGCCTGAAGGAACCAAAGTCCACGAAGAGTCATTCAGCCCCACAAAAGTCCCCTTTCACTTTAAAGGTGAACTGCAAAGCAAAAATGAAAATTCAGTTCTGTCCCATTTCTGTGCTGAATGCTCTCCGTAACCAGGCTGTGGGGGAGGTACCTACCATGGAAATAATTTTTAATTACTTTTCTAGAAAAAAAAAGATCCCTCCCCTTCCTGCCACCCACTGAAGCCCACCAGATGACAAACTGTGCATGTATGTTGCTCCATCACTGGAAGCTTGTGGCGTGTGGCAATACTGAACTGATGAAAGGGCTGACTTTCTGTTGCCCAGGCAGAAAAACATGTTTCATTCAAACTATGCCTGTGCTGCAGATGCCCCACATGGCAGGGCTAATGAGAACGCAAAGGTGAGTGTAGAGGAAACCCGTCCTTTCTTGTTTGCTCCGAGAGTCAGCAAGCAGGAGAGCTGTTGAGCCCGTATCCCTATTTCCTTCACTCCTTGCCCAAGCCGCGTTTCAGAAATTCCCTGGCCACCAAGAGCTTGGCTGTCCTGACCACACGTACAGTTAGGCAGTATGGGAGAGCAGATTGCCTCTGGGACAGAAGTTCTGCAGAGAGATTTCACTGTAAAAGGCAGTAAAAGACCACACCATGCTTTAGAGAAGCAGCGCTGAACTGTTGGGAACCTTCAGATAATTCCTGGTTCTCTTTCCCCTCCATCCTCTATTTCTCTGCCCTTCTGAACTGCTTTGCCTTTGTTTGATCTGACCTTGTGTTACCTTGTTTCACACTCAAGCCACAAAACAACACACATGAAGGAATAGGTTCTTCTTGGCGGGCCTGGATTCCTTTGCTCCCCCCTCCCCATGTAAGCAGCAGGTAAGACAGTGGATCTGCACATTTTTTCTACTGTAAGTCCTGCGGAAAGCTCTGAGGCAAATTGTTGGTGGCCCTCCCAAAACAGGAGGATCAAAACACACTTGCATTGCTTTTTTTTTCCGTAAGGTCCCCTATTTATCTTTGCAACAGCAGTCGGGGTATCTACTCTTAACGTTACTGGCAACACTGACTTTGCCTGGACCAGGCACCTGGGACTCCTGCTCTACTGGGGCGCCAACACCTTTCTTGCCCTCTGCCTGTGCGTGGACTGGAAAAAGGGACTTGGGGCAGCTCTGGGAGGAGGTGCACATCATGTCGTGGCGAGGCAAGGGCACTTCTGGTAACTGGCGCTGGGCCAGCTGAGGAAAACACGTCTTGTGGAGCTGTGGCTTTCTCCTGGTGGCCATCCCCTGGGGTCAGTGCAGGAATCACACCCAACAGTCCCCGGGTAATTCTGCAACTCAGGCCCCTCATTTTCTGTGAATAGCACATTTGCCCCACACTTGCAGGATTTGTCCTTTGAGAACAACGCAGTATTTTATGGGGACTTCCAAGAAAGACAGATAATCACT